CCTGGGCAGAGGGGGAAGGAAAGGGAGTGACCTTGGCTGGCTGGGCTGCTCCTTTTCTGTGGAAAACGGGTCAGACGAGGAGCCAACAAGGCAGGTCGTCTCAGCCTAGCTCATTTCCCAGACATGCTCCCTTCTCTGGCTTGTCCCTTCTTGGCTCCAGCTGGGAATTCCCACACTGCATGAGAATCCAGGGCTCTGGAAGCTGGATTTTGAGTCCCTGACATAGGACCAAACCCCTCACAAGAGGAGCTGGTGTTTCTTTACTTAGGAGGGTGCTGGTGTCTCTCCCTGCTTCAGCTGCAGGCAGCAGCACTTCCATGGCAGGGGGGATTCAGGGAGACCCTGTCCCATGCCAGGCCTCAGCTTTTGGATGAGACATGTCTAGTTAAGTGGCGGAAAAGACCCCCCCTGAGTGGCAGCTGGTCTCCTAGGCCCCACATCCCAGTGCAAGAGTCATGGACACTGATTAACAGACATGCTTCCTTGCTCAGCCTGTGACGCTGCTTTCCTATGGAGATGGGCACTCTATCCCCTGGCCCTGCAGTGACTCTGTTCTTAACTCTAAGCACCAGCAGTGAACTGATTCCATGTGGTGGGGGCAGTTCTCTTTCACAGGGACGTGGATACACCCTGAGGCAGCTGCAGTTGTGGGAGCACTGGACCTTGGAGGAGCCTCGACCCAGATAACCTTTCACCCTGGTCAGACCATTGAGGACAACAACACCGAAGTCCTCTTCTGGCTGTATGGGACCAACTACTCGCTTTATACCCACAGCTACCTTTGCTACGGAGAAAACCAAGCCTTGAAGAAGCTGATTGCATCCCTCAGAGAGGTATTCTCCTGAATCTGCCCATTCCCTCTTCACCAGACCTGGGGCTCACTGAGTCTGGTAGCACAAGTGTAGTGGGATGCGCACATGGCCCTATGGAGCTATTGCACCTTTGGCTGTACAGTGCAGCAAAAGGCAAAGCTAGTAATAACTTGGCACTTCATATAATGAGATCCATACCCGTCAACTACTTACCCCATTGCTCCCCATGCGGGAGGTGTTAACCCTGTGCTGCAGAAGGGAAACAGGCAGAGAGGGCAACACCTTAAAATATAACCTGTGATGTGGGGTACCCACTGGAGGTGCCTCTGGCCTGGTTTTCAGAGCCAAGTGGCACCTGGAGCTCCCACTGACTAGAACTGGGGATGCTAAGCACCTCTGAAAAGCTGGCCTGAGGTGTCTCACGTTGGGCACCAAACATAGTGGCTGTGTGCGAGTAGCTGCCGTAAGAGGCTTGTCCTATGCTCCAGGAGGAGTCTGTGGCCCAGGTGGGATCAGAACTTGAGTTCTAGTGGCACTTAACTCCCCTGGCTGTAGGCAGGGATGTGTGTGCAGCTTAGAGCTTTACCCAGCTCCGTGAATACCAGCAGCATAGCAGGCTCTGCATGGCCCTGTGCTGTTTAACTTCCACGGCAGATCTATGGGCCTTCCTGTGAAGGGAGCTCTGATCTGACTGCACAGGGGCGAATCGTGGGGAGACTAGATGCCCTTTCAGTCTATCAGCGGGTTTCTGTAACAGGGCACTGGTGCTGGGGCACATGCATGCAACCCAGGGCCCTCTGTCGAGGCTTTGGCTCTGCACCTGAGACAGCTGACCACAGCTCACATGACAGCTTGGAGGCAGTGTTTCCTAGAAGAGGGAGCCTGCTCAGTCGGGACAGACAGCAGTGTCAAGGAGGGACCGAGCAGGGGCTCTTGGCACTAGGCAGGCAAAAGGTTTGGCAGGAGATTCCTGCAGGGACAGGGTTAGCAGCCTAAACACGGAGAGGCTGCCGATGGGAAGGTGCGGCAGAGTCGGTGTGAGACACAGCCCGCTGAGGTGACACTGAAATTCTGTTGCTGGTGGGGGAGCCAGCCCACAAGCTGTCCCCTGGCTTGCTGGCTCCAGTTACTGTTAAAAGTTGGGTGAAAGAATGAGAAATGCTGGGCAAAATGTCAGAGTGTGCAGGGTGTTTTTTGTAAAGATGAATCCGTGCTTGCCCTTGGCTTTTGGCTCTTCCCCACCCATGCTCTCCCCTTTAAAACAAGCTGATCTAGCGTGAGGTGACCTGACAGGAAAGAGAAACCCAGCATGAGATTGTCCATTCAGCTGCACACATGCAAACCACAGGAGGATCCATGGCAAAACTAGCGCCCTCCCTGCCTTAGGATCTCCATTGAGGTGGTCCTGAATCTCTGTGGTTGCCCATAGAGTATAAGGTGAATCTTGTCTTGGTCTTTCATTGCATGGGAATGAATGTGTCTCCCAAAGGAGCGAGGCCAGTAGGGTGCAGGACTGTGAGCCAGTGGAGGAATGCAGAGCACTGGTGCTGAGGGCTTGGTCCTAGTCCAGCCTCGTTCTGCTGAGTGTACACAGGGGCTGTCAGCCTGCAGGAGCAGAGCGGGGCGGCTGGTCAGACTTGGTTTGTTTGTTCCCCATCCGACAGTTTAATTCCTGCAGCCGGGTAAGGAGATCACCGCTCTGAATGGGCCCAGAGTGGGAAGGGAATGTTTCCCTCTGAGAGATTAGCAGGATTCCAGAGAAAATCCAGCGTGCATAAGGATGGGTAGCATCTTGGGGCTGCCCTCTGCTTTCTCCACCGTGGGATGTTCCAGACTACTAGGCTGGCTTGTGTGTGAAGTGGTGGGGATGGGGGTTTGGCTGCTATCCCAAGCCTGAGCACTGCTAATGGGTTCCCCTCTCTCTAGGAGAACCTCACCTCTCAGCAGATCTCCCACCCGTGCTACCCTAGGGGATATGAGGAGAACGTCACTGCCGCTGCCCTGTATGACAGTCCCTGCGTCCCGGCACCAGCTGCACACGACCCCAGGCAGATCCTCACGGTGCGGGGGACAGGAGCCCCAGCGGAGTGCAGGAATGCCGTCCAGAAACTCTTCAACTTCACAGCCTGTGGGGCCAACAGGACGTGCGGGTTCAATGGGGTCTACCAGCCACCGGAGCATGGGCATTTCTTTGTAAGGGAGCCTTCCCTTCTCTTCTAGCTGGCTACCACACTGTAGGGAGCTGGGTTCTGAGGGATCTCATGCTGGCTGAGGGTCCCTGTACCTTTCGGGGGGGGGCGGGGGAGTGATGTGGGGGGAAATTCCCATTGGTACTAATGCGAGCAAATGTCTGAAAACCAGGACCAGTCCAGTGCACAGAACAAGCTGCTGCTATGTCTCTCGTGACATTTCCTTCCAGCATATGGCATCGTGGTGATCGCTGGCTGGGGGCACGTGGGGCAGGGTGTGGGGCAAGTTACAATTTTTAACTGTCTGTAAACATGGGAAAGTGAAGTGGATGTGTTGTCTACATGGGCAAGTTGCAAAGGTTCAACTTAAGGTGAGACTCTAAATCGCCGTGGGTAAAGCAGTGCCCAGACCTGTGTGGGTTCTTAGAGCACATCTACATGGCAATGCCAGGGGTGACTGCAGCACAGGTGGCCATAGCTGTGCTAGTTTTACCAGCATTAGAGCGACTACAAATAGCAGTGTAATGTGGCCACACAGGCTTCACGAGTGCACCAGGGACCTGGGGTTTGTCCTGCTAGCCTGCGCTTGACCCCCGCTGCTGCGTCTACACTGCTAGTTTTAGCCATGCTAGTGTGGGTGAAGCTAGTGCAGGTAAGTCTGCCTGAGATTACACTCCTCAGATTGCAGGGTTAGACATCCCTTGGTTCAAACCAGGCTATTTTTTGGTTTAGCCTACGTTGATTAGGAATTGGTGAAAGCGAAACCAAAATAAGTCTCTCAAACTGCAATCCGAGCATCTGCTGACCTAGCTCTGTTTAAATTCTCGCTATACATTAAATCCACACAATGTCGCCATCCAGACAAGGCCTTAGGAAAGGAAGCGGCTCCCAGCTCTGCAGCACTGGCACCACCCAGACATGCTGTGGGGATGTGAATAGGCAGGTCACATGGACCTTCCTGTCCTCACACCTCAGTTCTGAGCTACAGCACTCAGCTCCTAATCCAGTGCCCCTCTTGTCTGGAGACAGACTTCCAGACGCCGGTGGTGCTCGTGTGGCTTCCATCAAAGGGACGTGGGACGATACCCCTCTGTCCCACAGCATGAACACTGTGGTTCAGCAAGGAAAGATGGGCGCCACTAACCCAGACCACGCCAATCCCAAACCTCCCCAACCTGCATATCATACCTAGGGAGAAGTAGTGCATGTTCCTGAATGTCTGTGCCCAGGACCTGGAGCGGCTTGGTGCCTCAGTCCATGCTGTCTCTTGGGGACAGTCACACTTTCCTGAACTCCCTTTCCCCCAGCTCCTGTTAGCTCCCCGCTTCCAGGCCAGTGCAGAGACTATGGAGGTGTTGGACTCACATATGCCCATTTCTCCTCTTGCCCATCCATGCACCCATCAGACTATATTCCAGTGCTGCCTCTGTCTGGTGCAAGCTGCATCTCATGAATGTAACCCTTGTTGTTTAGATCTTATCTACAACTCTGTGTGCTGGGAGAACTAGTGGGGTTCCCTGGGCTCAGTTCTTTGAACTCACGAGACTCTAGGAAGCTTGGGCTGTCCTCTCTGCCCTATAGGCCTTGGTGATAATACTGCCCTATGAGCATGTGCCCTGGGAAGTCATGCTTCCAGCCATGGGCAGTGGCTCAGTGAGTGTGTTCAGATCCCTAGCTAGCTCTATCCCTGCTGTGGATGGAGTCCCCACACCCATTGCTCTGCATCAGGCACTGTTCACTGGCACTAATTTCATGCCCAGAGGAGTGTGGGAGAATTCCTCACGTCTTCCCCCCCCCCCCCGCTTCCTTTCTGTGGCTGCATCCTTTCGGTAAGGGGAGATGGAAGCTGGTTTATGGAGCCTGCAGTGAAGAGTTGGGGTGGCTGAGGCCATTGGCCTGCGGAGAGCGTGTCGCTGAGGGCTGGCTGCTTGGCTAACCTGCTTTGTTTGTTGTTTTAAGGCCTTTTCCGGATTTTATTCAGTCTTCCACTTTCTGAACCTGACCAGCGAGCATCCCTTGAGTGACGTCAGTGCCACCATCGAGCACTTCTGTGCTAAGGACTGGAAGGAGGTGAGACCCCGGTTAGCAGCCGCCGGTGCTGTCATGTAATGCCTGAATCTAGATGCATGGGGAAACTGGAGAACACAAGGGTACCATTAGCAGGCTGGGATTCTCCTTCCCTTGGGATCTTCTTGGGCCGGGGGGAGCCTTGGCTTGGGCAGAAAGATGGGGGACAAATCGTTAGCTTCTGGGTTCTAAATTCTTCTGCGACTTCTCCCCCCTGAGTTTTCTGAAGTTTAACTGGCTCGTTGCGCATCAGAGGTCTGCAGACCATTTCCCAATGGTGTGTGGAGAAACCCTCTGGCCTGCTGCTCCTTCTCACACAAAACCTGGGCGACAGATTCTTCACCCTGCCCTCTCAGGATGGAGACTCGGCTGGGCCCAAAGTCCTGAGGGTCCCAGTTATCCCAGAGGCAGAGCAGAGGGTCATTCCAGTGAGTGCAGGGTAGGGGAGTGGGGGCTTCATGCCTAGGGTTCAGTGACAGGGTATAGAGCCCTCACTGCTCTCTTGAGGACCCCAGCTTGGATCTGGCCCAGGTTGGTAGCAACTGGAATCTAAAGCACAGTGGGTGCCTCTGCCACATGCCTGGCTTGGAGCTGAAATAGCAGGTCTGTGGGTGGGGCGAGGGGGCCTCTCTGACCTGTGACTCGCTAGAGTAAAGTTACCAATGGGCTAACTGGGCATCTCTACATGGGAACAGCAGGTTTGCACTGACCTCGCCCCCCCCCCCCCCGTGTCCCTAGGTGCAAATGGTGGATCCTGGCGTGAACAAGACCCGCCTTCAGGATTACTGCGCTGCCAGCACCTACATTCTCACCCTCCTGCTGCAAGGCTACAAGTTTGACAACCAGACATGGAGCAACATCCATTTCCACTGGCAGGTAGGACGTCTCCCTGGCAGGGTCTGCTGCACAGCCTGGGTCACGCCCCCCGGAGCGGGTCTGTCCCCAGCCTGCCTTACCACTGTGGGCTCCCGCGGGAAATCTGCTCCATCAGTGCCTAGATGAGGGGAGTTGGCGATAAAGGGCCTGTGCAGTCTTTACCCTGCTCCCCCCCAGCCCAGCATGGGCACTGGAATAGCTCTCCACTTCTTCCCTCCCGCTGGGGTTCTTGGCATTGGAATCGTGGCTGCCCAGCTGTGTTGCACAATCCAAATGATACAATTGTGCCAGTCTGGAAAAAAGGTGGTGTGTGTTTTCTCCCTCCCTCCCCCTCCCTCCCCCCCAGCCAAAGAAAGTAGGAACTGAAAAGGCAACTTGAGTTACCCTGCCTGCCCCAATTCTCCTGCAGGTCTGTTCCCTTCCCTGGGAGCCTATTTGTGCAGTCTGGTGCAACAGCCCCTAAGGCCTGTCCCTCCGTTACACTGGCTCTCACATAAATCCACATGAGGTACACGAGGCAGTCAGGTCGCAGGAATCCAAGCCCCCCCCCCGGTCTGGATTATAAACCCTGCAGATGGTAGGTGCTCTGCATGTCAGTAACCCAGCCCAGATAGAGTGCAGAAAAAGGGCCTTAAATATGTCCTCCTTCAGGGAGGCAACAGCTGTCATGGTAAGTGGAGTCACTGTGAGTTGGGTCCTAATGAGGGTCGGAGTAGCTGGTTCCCATGCAGCTGGATGGTGAATTAAGCTAGACACGCTCAGTCTAACCCAGGCTCCTGTATCCTCTGTAGCTCTGTGGGCCTAAATATTGCAGCAGCGTCCCTGCATTCTATGCAGATCAGAGACTAGGATGTGATTTGTGTGCTGGAGGATGGGACAGATTATCCTATCACTGCCGACTGCCACGTTCTTGTCCCTTCCCCTGATACATCTGATGCTGGCCACTGCCAGAGACAGGGTACTGGACCATATGGATGTTGGCTCTGAGCCAGTCTGGCAACTCCTGTGTTCTGTTCTGAGGCAGCTCAGTGGAGACTGTATGAATGAAATCTGAAAATCAGGAAACCAGTCCCCTCACCCTGGGTTTGCTGAGATTCCATTCCATTTTTTTGATGCTGTCTCCAGCCCCCTGATTTTGCACTCACATGGCAGCACTGCATTTGAAGCTGTCAGGCGGGGTGGGAGGTTTTGGCACATGGCCAGGGGACAGCTGAGGGTTTTGGTACCTGGAAAGGCATGGCAGGGTTTGGTGGTGTGGGAGAAACACATTAGCTGGATGCTTCTTGAAATGCTCCTGATCAAACTGCTGATGTTTAACTTGCCACCTTTAAGTTTCAGAATTAACAATTCCTTGAGATGAATGAGGCAGGTCATGGTTCTCTGCTTTCATCTTGAGCTGTCTGCAGGCTCACAGCCAGCACCAGTTACACCCCTCTCATTTTCCTCCCAACTGTGAGGGCTACAATGCCCTTTAGTTAAAGTTGCAAATTTAAATTCTAGAGCACAATTTCACAGCAATGGAGGATGGGGGGCAGGTTCTGGGGTGGGCTCCAGGGCCGGACGAGGGCTCCAGAGCAGGTTCTGTGGCTGTTGAACAGCAGAATGACTACATAAGAACAAGCACACTCAGTATTGCTGTAAATCACTGAAGAAGCGGGGAGGAATAGCTCAGTGGTTTGAGCATTGGTCTGCTAAACCCAGGGTTGTGAGTTCAATCCTTGAGGGGGCCATTTAGGGATCTGGGGCAAAAATCTGTCTGGGGATTGGTCCTGCTTTGAGCAGGGTTTGGACTAGATGACCTCCTGAGGTCCCTTCCAACCCTGATATTCTATGATTCTAAGGCTCTGATTCGCCTCCTTCCCTGCCCAGCAGTGAGTGCCTGCCCTTTGAGTCCATAAAACTTCTCTGCTCTCTCCTCTCAGGTGGCTGCTGTGGATGTGGGCTGGAGCCTGGGCTACATGCTGAACCTCACCAACACGATCCCCTTGGAGGCTCCCAACCGAGTGAAGGGGCAGCGGCCTGACCTGTGGGCAGCGGCCGTGGTCACCACCTGCCTCATGCTGGCCATGATCCTGTGGACAGGCCTGGCTCTGTGCTATAAGTGGCCCCTTGCCACCTATGAGACTATGCTGTAGCTGGCCAGTGCTCCTCAGGCTGGGGCCCTGCTGCCATCAGGAGCCACACGTGGCTTTCCCCAGACATCATGCAGTCCTGTGTGTTAGACGTTCGTGGCCTTACAACCCAGTGCCCCTACTTGCAGCTGGAGGCAGGGTCTGGGAGAGAAACCCCTCCCCAGGGAGGGTAGGAACATTGGGTTTGAAGGACAAATGGCATCTGTTGGCAAATTGGTGACACTTTTCAGTCTAATCTCAGCCCTGTGAGCTGTGCTGGCTTCCTGCTCTCCCGCAGCCCCCTTTCCAGTCAGCAAGTCCTGGTGTGCAAACAAAGTCTATCCTGAGGAGGTGCTGCTGCCTCCTGCAGAGCCCAGTTGGGTGTGTGTGTGTGTGTGCGCCATGGCCTACTGGATTTGGGGGGCAGGGGAAGCTGGGGCTGGTGAGGCGGGAAGCATTGGCTAGAGTGCCAGGAGACTCCAGGGCAAGGCGGAGGGAATGGGAGTGTGAGTCTCCTCCTGGTCCAGGGAGCACCGGCTGATATATTTGGAAGTGTCTGGATGCAGGGGCAGGGACTTGCCCTTTCGCGGTCACTAACGAAGGGCTGGTTGTGGCACACAGGGATGTTGGCTACAGCCTGGGTGTTCGGGCCAGGCTCCAGACACTGCCCTGGCTCAGGGTTACAAAAGGTTAATATGGCAGGGGTCAGACTCTTTTTACCCTGGCTTATACATGTGTAAGGGAGAGAGGAGAGGCAGGCACAGGTGCCACATGGGAAAGCCACTCTGGCATGTGAGGCTGCAAGTTGTGGGTTGCTGTGGGCGTTGCACAAAGAACTCAATTTCCCATCAAACCCAGACTGGGTGCCTCTTCCCAAGCTGATCATTGTGCCACCTTGTCATTGGCTCTCAGCTTACCTGTGACAGGCCCTGCTAAAGTGAGTGCCCAGCCCAGCTCCCTCTCAGGATAAGTGAGTGCCCAAGCAGCAGGGCATGAGTTAATTACCACCTGGATCTTATAAAGGGTTATGGGGGCTCAGGCAGGCAACAATGCCCAGAAGAGGCCCCGGAGAAAGAATTTCTCAGGGCAGCAGGCTAGGAATCTACCCCTGGTGGCCTGTCCTAGGGAACAGGGGTGCTGGGGAGAGGAACTGTCCCCAGAAAGAGAAAAGGGGAGGGCTTCTGGGGAGGAGTGGGGATTGGTGAGGAAGCACAGCGGGAAAGGAAGCCAAGAATAGGGTTGGCAGTTTAGATGGACATGTTCCTGGAGGTTTCATCACAGACATAATCTTTAATTACCAATGAATCATGAATTTCTGGACACTCAACAATCCTGAAGGGTTGGCAACCTGAACCAAGGAAGAGTATTCCTGGTGTGAAAGGCTCCAAAAGCAAAGGGGTATGAATGTCAAGTCTCATTGAAGCCTTGTCTCCATGGAAGGACTTCACCAGATAGCAGTAGGTTCCCCAGCTGAGAGGAATTATATGCTGCTCTGAGGAAACCAGGGGCATTGTGGTTTAACCGCTATGTGGCCCTTGACCCAAGAGGACCAAGACCCTTCCTGAGCTGATGACAAGTGGCCCTGACTCCAGAAGAGGGCTCTGAATCATGAGGGACTCACTAGTCAGGGACCTGGACATAAGTGGAATTGTTGGACTAAAATTAATGCAGCCTCTTCCTGCACCTTAGGATACTGGGTGGAGGCCTATTTGGGTAATGGTTTGCCTTTGGGTTAGATTAAACTAGACCCCTGAAGGGACACTGCTCACTATACATCAGTCTCTTTAGCCTTATTGAAAGTCCATTAGGGGAAACTGAGGCAGAGATGTAATTATGGCTCTGCAGAGGATGGGGGGGGGCCCAAGTTTGAGGGCCCCCAGTACATCCATCCAAATAACTCACTAAACATGCTTGTAAATAAAATGAAAATCCTGTGCTCACCAGTTCTTTCTGGGTACCCCCAATACATTCACAAGCACAAACTCTGAGGGGCTGGATGTTCCAGCACAGGGGCTGCAGCATGTGGCTTCTGCCCGACTGAGGCAGCCAGAGATACAGCGTTCCAAAGCCCTGGCAATTCCAGGCGTTTGCATGTGGAGTTGAACCTCTGAACAATGCAGTGGAGGTGGATGTAGCTTGTAAACAACTGTGCCAACTGGAGGAGTAGTTCTGCATCAGTGACTGCCTTGTAGTTAAATGTAACGGCCCAAGTAGGTGATTATTTGGGGGAGCTGGAGCAGTTTGGGTTCAGGGGTCAGTGTAAGAATAGTGCAGGTAGGTAAGGGACTCAGCCATCCTCTGTGATGAGGCCCGCTAAGGTGTGTATGTCCTGACTGATGAATGCACAATGTGTTATGGTTTCAGGCTGCTACCTGTGCAGTCATTAAACCCTATGGGCTATAGGATGCAGGAACCTGAGGCTTTGCTTATTTCTGCAGCAGCATCTCTTCTCCTGCTGCTTGGGGGCCATTAAAGAGACAGTGACACATGCTCATGTCATGCTGGACTTCACCTTGGAGAGGAAGTTTTATTCTACTCTGAGGATAAAATCAGACTCACAAGCAGGGCCTGGATCCCCTGTCATACAGTCTGCATCAGCTCTTCTGCGGGGTGGGGTTGGGGGGCTGATGCTGGGATTGTTCCCCAGCCTGTCTGCTCTCCCTTGCACCCCAGCTTTTAGATTGATAGTAGGAAGAGCCTCCTCCCCCTTGAAAGTCCCATAGAGAGGTCACAAGAACCCAGTAGGATGGCCAAAGCTGGGGGCATAGTTCAGCTCACATCTAACCCATCACCCATGCTGACAACCCTACTGTACCTTGTGATCAGGTTCTCACTGAGCTCCCAAGTCGTCTTAGAGCCCCTGAGAGCTCTGCAATAATATTAAGACCCACGGCTGGGTTTTCTGCTTCCTGTAGCAACATTCTGTAGACTTGGCAGGGTCTTTCCCAACACCGCCTCTGTGATGTTTTGGGGTTCCACCCAGACCAGTGACGGGTTGTGTCACTGCCGGTCTGGCATAACTCTGGGTGCCTTAAATGCTCTGTTTATGCAGCTCACTGCCTGGACACCAACAGCCAGCAGACAAGCGTGCAGGGCACGGCACGGACACCAAGAGCCAGCACACAAGTGTGCAGGGCACAGCCTGGTTTCTACCCTTCGTTAGTGTTTCAAAGTGACCCCAACACTCCCAGTCCTAAATTTCCCAGAACGGTTTCCCTGATGTGCCTAGCCCTGTCCTGGGACACTCACTGGAATGATTACACTTGCTGCTGCTGTAAAGAGAGGAACCGCGGCTTGGTCTCTTGCCTGGTGTTACAGTCCCTCCAGTTCAATCAAAGCACCGGGCTGGTTTAGATAAAAAGTAAAACAGTTTATTCAGTTACAAAGCCAGGTTTGAAATAAGTTCAACTACAAAGGGCAAAGATAAAAGGGCTACAAGAAGCTAAAATTTGCCTTAACAAGCCACAGTCTTTGTTCAAGGTAATTTCCTCACCAAGCTTCCTTTTCCAGGGATGGCTGGCTGGCTCTGAGCCAGGATCCCCCAGCGTCCCAGGCACTGGTTTGCCTTGTCGCCTCAGGTGAAGGATAATGGAGGGTTCTCTGCCCCTCTCTTATAGGGCAGTAAACCTTTGAAAAGTGTCTCTCACAGGTCACTGACCCTGCTGCCAGAGGCAGGAAGGCTCCCTGTGGGTGCAGGCTCCATCTCCTGCTGAGCTTGTTACGTGATCACCTTTTCCCCACTTGCTCTCCGGACGGCTTTGTTTGCCTGCCACGCAGATGTGCTTTTCTTTGTCTTTGGTCACACCTTGCTCCAGTTACATGGAGACCCAGTCAAGCTGGCGGAACCACATTCCTTTTTCTGGGGGAGGGGGGGGACGGGACCGGTTTATTAACTCTCCTTGACATGCCTGGTTTAAATACATTTGAGTCATGAGTCCAGTGCCGCTGTATAAGCTTTTGCAGGTTGATCGTACAGCCATCAGAATATTACTGATAGGGCTATGGTGAGTAATTAGTTGTCCAAGGGCATATTTCATGCCACCTTTTGGGTAAATATCATGACACCAGCGTGTTAGCTGTAGTGCGCATGTCAGGCCTGTTGAGTAGCTGACACAGAGAAGTGAACCACCAACGGGCCGCTGGGTGACAGCCTCCCATCAGGAATTCAGTGTTCTTTGTCCAGGGCCACGCACCTCCTCTTCCTTTGAATGTGGTGGCCTGGTATAGCTGGCTTTTCTCAAGGGCTCGTACTGAGTGCACTGGGTCTTAGCAGCTCATCACGTTTGGCTCCCAGTAATCGAACAAAGACTGAATTTGCTGTGCTGTGCTACGTGGAGGGCACACGGGAGTGCTGTGCTTTGCTATGTGGAGGGCACACGCAGTGTCGTGACCCATGGGAGTGCAGCAATTTCAAAGAAATCTTGCAAGCAAACAATTGTCCACACAACTAACAATATACAATGGTAACAGCAGCTTGTATGTGGAGTGTAGTCAAACCAGAAGGAGCTGGCCCTGACCTCCTCAATGTATCAATGACAGGGCAGCTTTCCTGGGCATTGAAATTATTTCAGAATCAATCTCTTGGGCCATGTAACACAGAATATCATTAAACCTCCAGCCACACACCCATCCAAACCAACTTCACAGACATATTCTTCACACTTGACCATCCTTAGGATGGGTGACAGAATTCCCTGAAGTTCAGACAGAGCCATGACACGTGACTGGCAGCCCTGGACTGCCAAAGGGGCTAAGTGGAGGTGCCTGCAATGCCATTTAAAAGAGTGAGTCAGCAAAGCCAACACCACTCCTGAGTTCTCATCGGGGTCACCAACAGTGCAGCAGATGATTCCACGGCTGCCTCAGCATCCTCACCCTGGCAGGCCCAGAGAGGATGGGGCAGGCTGGATCCCCCTGCTGTGGACTCCTGGGTTTGGAGAGCTGCAGGGGATTTTGCTAGAAGTAGCTCTGAGACGGCCACAGTTTGGAGGCCACCACTCTCTGAGCAGCAGTAAGAAGTCTTCCCAGGTGGCCCTTTAGCACATGACAGCACAGTGAGCCTGCCCTGTGGGGATCCTTGTATTGAGATCTGTGCACAGCAATTACTTTTACTTCAGCTCATCCTTGTTCTTAGCTAGACTGTTGGTCCAAGAGCCATGCAGACACGGACACACCCACGACCCTGTCAGCCAGTCTGGGATGGGATGGTGATTCCATTGATGGCTTCCTTTTGATCCATTTAACAATGATGACACATTGCAGATGTGCAGGGCGCTCTGGAGCCATGCAGCATATGCACCTTGGCAAGACGAGCTTCCACTGCTGATTACCCTGGGAAGGTTTGTAGTCTTTCTCATCTCTGTGAAAGCAGCAGTTCATGACACCCAGCTATTTGCCTGCAGTCCAGACTTCAGACTGAGCCAAAGCGAGGAGGTGCCATGTCGGAGCTTTTAGATACATTGATTGGTTCATGTTTTTATGCCTCAGAATTACAGGCATTTACTTTCACAGACCATGTCACAGTTTCTCTTCTCTGCTCCTTGTAAAAATTAGTTTGCTAATGAAATAAAGTAGGAATAAATGCAAAGTCTCTGCACTTTCTCCAGAGAAAGTAAAACCCAAGGCCTAGCACTAGCAACAGAAATATTGATTAGGAAACAAATCACAGAATTTGACAGAAAATGAAGGCAGGGGATGGAAGACAGTGATGGAGATGGTGTTGCAGGCAGAGAAGAAATAGGATGAAATGTACTCCAGTGCATGGGCCAGGGAAAGACTTGTATCCCACTCGAGGCCTGGCTGGATTTCTTTGGTGCAGAGACCTTTTTCCCATTGGAACTATCAAAGAGGCCAACCTTCAAACATCCACTCAAGAGCAAAATTCCCATGGCTCTCGTTACTGACTCATTTAAAGATTTTTGGGGGACAGTCCTCCCACCCGCCTGGGGGAGCAAGCAGAGGGAGGGAAACTACTGGAGATGAACTGGATTTGGGTGGTACACAAGGGTGGAACCAGGTGCTACTTGATCGTAGGCCAAGGAACCACTGAAGGTGGAACCACTGAAGGCCCCATTATCCCGGGAAAACCCCCTGGGGACTGAGATGGGAACAGACTCCCTTTGGGAAGACTCCGACTGTTATTCTGATATAGCTGCTAATCCTCACTAACACTTTAACACTCAGTTCGCCTTTTAATTAACGTGCCATTGATTAAATCCATAAGGTAAATTGCAATGGAAAAGTCTCATTAAAGTTATATCAAATGCAGGATTGAGCAGCTGTCAGCTCTAAATTTACCAGAGACCAGAGCTAGGGCTTGGATCTCATTTAACTGCCGCAGACTCAGGTGATGCCTTCCTAACTGCTAGGGTGGGTTTGCACTACCTGTCGGTCCTGGCAAAGCCTGGCATGGCAATGTATAGCCCTTAGCATGAATTACTGGACCATGTACCAGTGCACCCACAGTGCAAGGGAAGGCTAGCAGCATGAGTCCCTCAGCAGCCCAGAGTCCCTACCTGTGGGAGCAGAGATATGGTTTCGCAGGCCTGCCCCTCCCAAGAATGTTTGTTAAAAACCAGTAGCTAGAGCCATTCAAGACAATGTATGTATGTAACCTGCGGTGGGAGAGCATGGGACTCATGTTAGAGCTCAGTGAATAACTGACTTTTTTCAGACCTCTGCAAGTTCCAAAAATTTGAAAAAAACCACAAAAATATGGTTCTGCTCAAGCTGAATCCAAAAATTCCAGTGGATCAAAAATTTCCATTGTTTGGATTGACCCCAAATGCTTTGTTTTCAGGCATCGTAAAAGGGCTAGATTCACACAATGGCCAGCAGAGGAGGACTCCTTCTTACAACTTTTAGCCCAGAAGTTAGGAGAATGGGTCTGATGCCCCCACTCCACTTGAGGTGGGCTAGAGATTTGAACTCAGGTCTCCCCCCTTTACAGAAAAGGGCCCTAGCCACTGACACAGGGCTCTCTAGGTAGCGGCTGCTGAACCTTTCCCACTGGGTATAAATATTTATTGGAGCAGGGACTTGAGTCTCATCTATTGCTAGGTGAGTGCCCTAACCACTGGGCTATGGAGTCAGTCTGTGCTGGTCTCTCTCTCTCACCCATTGACTATTCAAGCATAGGCGGCCGGTGACCCGGTCAGTGGGGGAGGCTAGACCCCGAACCCTCCCCTTGTGCCCAAGGCCCCACCCCTCCCCTTCTGCCCCTCTCCCCTGCAGGATCCCAGAGCACCCCCGCCAGCCCCAGAGCACCGGGCAGCACGGCCCTAGCACCAGCTGCCTTGAGTCCCTGCAGGAGGCAGGCCAGCCAGCTCCAGCCAGGGCAAAGTGCTGGGAACCTCAGGAGGGGGCCTGGCTTGGGGGTGGAGCGTGGGCAGGGCAACGCTAGGCTGTTTGGGGAGGCACAGCCTCCCCGTGCCTACGATACCCGCCACCCATGTTATTCAAGTATGTTGTACGAAGTGACAGTGTTTCATAAGAACAGCCACACAGAGTCAGACGAAGGGTCCATCTGGCCCTGTGGCCTGTCTGCTGACAGTGGCCAGGTGCTTCAGAGGGAATGAACAGTTTCAACAGGAGAGACTGAGAAAGTCCCACACCAAGATATCCTGTAGCCTGGTGGTAAGCACACTCCAAGTGCATTTTCCACTCTACAGCAGGGGGAATTGAACTTGCATCTCCTACATTGCAGGTGAGTGCGCTGACCACTCAGTGCAAAGGTGGTAGGAAGTCAGATCCTACTCCAGCCGTCTGGTGAACGGCGCTTAAGCCCCTTGTGACTCTAGCCTGATTTTTTTTTTTTTGGGGCCCAAATTATTCAGCAAATTTGTGTCAAATTCACAAATAGTTTTGGGTTGATTTTTCAGCTAATAAACCATATTTTTCTGAAAAATAATGCGTTGCTCTACTCTTGCTCCCTCCACTGTTTGGTTCATGCGAGAGGCTTGTGAGCCTGCTACTTGTTGCAGCTAGGGGCACTAGGGCGAGATTTTTACAGGTATTTAGGCATCCAAAGATGCAGTTAGTCACCTAATGGGATTTTCAAAAGTGCCTAAGCCCCTAACTCCTATTGAAATCAAGGGGAGTTCATAAGAACACAAGAACGGCCACACTGGGTCAGACCAAAGGCCCATCTAGCCCAGTATCCTGTCTTCTGGCAGTGGCCAATGGCAGGTGCCCCAGAGGGAATGAACAGAACAGGTAATCATCAAGTGATCCATCCCCTGTCACCCATTCCCAGCTTCTGGCAAACAAACTAGGGACACCATCCCTGCCCATAATAGCCATTGATGGACCTATCCTCCATGAATTTATCTAGTTCTTTTTTTAACCCTGTTATAGTCTTGGCCTTCACAACATCCTCTGGCAAGGAGTTCCACAAATTGACTGTGAGTTGTGTGAAAAAATTTAAGTTAGGCACTTAAATGCTTTTGAAAAAAATCCCACTAGGTGCCTATGAGCATCTTTAGGTGGCTAAATACCTTGAAAACTGCAGCCTCAGGGGGTAGTGGCTCCCACTCCTCATGTGATATAGGGCCTAGTTTAAATCTTGCTATAGGGTCAGTTATGTTCCGTGGGTGCCCACCCCTCAAGTCTCCATTTAACAGGGTGTCTAAGGCCTCTCATTAGTGGAGGGTGCGAGGTGCTGAAGCCCTGGCCATCTGCTCCTGCTGAATGGCTCCTACCACAGGATGTATATGAGCAAGCCGACGAGGCAGAAAGCCAGAGTCAGGACAATGAAGAAAATGGCAGCGGCCCAGAGCCCGTACTGCTGCCCTTTCACTTGCTCCGGAGCCTCCGCCGGGATCATGTTGGTGAGGTTCAGCATGTAGCCCAGGGTCCAGCCAATGTCCGTGTTTGCTGCCTGCCCAAGGAAAGAGCACCCTGGTATTAAGGGGATGACCAGTCCCCAAGAGGTGTGAGCTACTAATAGGGAGGGATAGCTCAGTGGTTTGAGCATTGGCTTGCTAAACCCAGCATTGTGAGTTCAATCCTTGAGGGGGCCCCTTAGAGATCTGGGGCAAAAATCTGTCTGGGGATTAGTCCTGCTTTGGGCAGGGGGTGGGACTAGATGTTCCCTTCCAACCCAGATAGTCTATGATTCAATTCTCACAGGGAGATGGGGATGCCCAGATTCCTGACCTGCAGTGTGCATAGTATGCTGCCTGAGCATCACTGGCATGGGCACAAGGAACAAAGGCTGTCCTTGCTCTGCAGAACACAGACTGTGGCAGCAAAACACCTTCCCAGCCCTTGGCTTCCAAAGCCTGCCATGGGGCACAGGGGAGTCTTTCTCATCATTGTGGGTCCTCATCATAAAACCACCTCATGATTTTTGCCACAACTGCGCACAGTCCATCAGCCCTCGCTGAAATGCAGCAGGGACCCAGAATCGCAGGACTGAGGTGCACTGGCAGAGCTGTGGGCTGGAAGAGCAGGAGCATAGTCACTGCAGTGCATCGTTAAGGCTGGAGAGGAGCAGGCATGGACTAGCAGGGGTGGCAGCCATGCCCTTCGGCCCCAGAGGTGAGAGCACTTGCGCCACCAACTGAGCCATGCTGACTCCAAGCAGGTTGACGTGCGATTCTTCCTCCTAGCCTCTGCACTCGGACTCTCGCTTACCTTCATCTGGAACTTGATGCTGCTCCAGCTGGTTTGGTTGAATTTGTAGGCCTCGAGCAGGAGCACCAGGATGTAGTTGGCGTTGGCACAGTACTCTCGCAGCCACTGCTCTTTCTCTTTGGGGTAGCTGGATTTCAACTGGGGGTAAACAATCAGCACAGGGGAGAGAAGGGACATGAACACCAGCAGCGTGACAGGAGCTCTGAGCCTACAGCAGGGGCAGACTGTGTCCTGGCAGCTCCCTGACAGCCTGAGGTGTGGAGGGAGGGATTGATGGCCCACATCTCTCCAGGGTACAGAGACAGGTGCTTGCTCATGGACCAGGCAGGTATTTCCTAGCTCATCAAATGAGCTGTGATCGAGCAACTGGGCTGGCTGCCCCACCCCAATGTTAATCATGTACAACATGGCCATGACCTCATTCTCTGTCCCCAGCGGGACCAATGTCCAGTCTGCCTCTGCACTGCCCTGCTCTCCCCAGCCAGGGGGCTGTGCGCCCACTCCAACAACACCCGCCCTTCTGTAGGCTGGATCTGCGCTGAGAGTGTCCCTGTGCGCCAGGCCAGACGGGGGGTTGTACAGCACAGCAGCTGGGTACATGCGACCTCAGCAGTGAAAATTCCTCTGGTGCTGACTGGCTGTTCCCACTCCTCGGCCCTGTGTGGGAGTAACATTGGTCATCCTGGGGAAGCTGCAGGACGTTTTCTGCAGGAGGGAGATGGTGCTTTGGGTAGTTTTGTCCCCTCCCCTTGATTTAAATTAATCACTCAGGACCATTTGACTCCTGATGGTGGCCAGCTGGGAGCCCATCAGCATGGCTTCTGGCTGCCACAAAGGGTACCACGGAATGACAGGATGCGCTGCCTCCCACCAGAGTGGGAGCGTGCTGCATCCACAGGGCTTCAGGCTCCTGCCAGCCTGGGGAGAGCGGCTGGGCCTAGGAACTGAGCCTGCACCCCGTGGGCAGCTCAGAGCAGAGATCACTAGCCCTCTGACTATTCCCAGGGCATTGAGCTTGGTGATACCACCTACCCCTTCGATAACCCTGGCCTGCCTTGTGCTGTGGGGCCTCCCCTGGGAGAGTTCCCTTCCCCCTCCCCTCTTAGGACCCTTTGCTTTGCAATCCCCCCTGCCTGTTCCCTTGTAGCCTCCATCCCCCCTCACAGCACGTACGTCTGTCCAGTTTCTTGCACAGAACTTCTGGACAGTGTCCTCGACAACGGCCAGGGGCTGCCCACTGGTCAGGTTGAGGAAGCTGAAGGTGTAGTAAAAGGCAGAGAAGGCCTGAAAAGCAAGAGACCAATAGGTCAATAGGAGGCCTGAGCATGGGCTCCATTGTTGGCTTGACTTTGAGGAATATGATCTTGTGCATAAAGTACCAGCCTGCAAACTGTGCTCTAGCACTTCTCCCTTTTACCAGCTCAGGGAAATCCAGTCTAGGGTTGCCACCTTTCTCATGGCTGGTAACCAGACCCCTGAGGCCCCGCCCCCTTCTCTGTTCCTTCTCCCGAGGCTCCTTCCCCATCACAGGCTCCTCTCCCTCCCAGCCCGGAGGTGCCACGTCTGAGGTACATCTCCCACACATCCTAGGGGTAAATAAGCACAATGTGCACACCCATGGGGGGATTTTCATTTACACACACACACACACACACACACACGGAGATTTGCTTCATTAGCAAACCCGTTCTCGGGAGCATGGGAAGGGAGCTCCCCCTTTTGCACATACAGCTGGGGTGAAAGGGAGGACTGCTCGCTATATTTACATGGATGCTCCAATTGGGGGACAGCGTCCCCTTATTTGCACTGGTACCTAAGAGAGAAGAAGGTCCCACCCCTTGCATGCCCAGTGGGAGTGTGGAAGGAAGAGAAACAGGTACTCCCCCATTTGCAGCACACCTGCCTGAGAGAAGAAGAGGAGAGCACGTCCCCCCACTTGTTGCACACCCACCCACTTCCCGCACCCTGTCAAATTCCAGACTCAGAAACTTTCCAAACTTTCCCCAGTTGGGCGGTTAGGAGTGGGTGGGACAGGGAGAGCTGTAGGCTGTGATTGGTTTGGCGGGCAGGGTGCAGGGCTGTGATTGGCTGGGCTCTGTCCCCCTCCTCCTGAGAGTGGCGAGCGTTCACTGGGTAAGCGTCTGTCTGTGAGTTAAATTCAAATCGGCAGTGAGCGACTAGGGGTGCCACCGTGGAAAACAGATTAAAAAAACGGACATTGGGGCTCGTGAAATGGCACCTGACACACAACATAAGAACATAAGAATGGCCCTACTGGGTCAGAGCAAAGGTCCATCTAGCCCAGTATCCTGTCTTCCGACAGTGACCAGTGCCAGATGCCCCAGAGGGAATGAATAGAACAGGAAATCATCAAGTGATCCATCCCCTGTCACCCATTCCCAGCTTCTGGCAAACAGAGGCTAGGGACATCATTCCTGTCCATCCTGGCTAATAGCCATTGATAGACCTATCCTCCATGAATTTATCTAGTTCTTTTTTGAACCCTGTTATGGTCTTGACCTTCACCACATCCTCTGGCAAGGAGTTCCACAGGTTGACTGTGCATTGTATGAAGAAATACTTCCTTTCATTTGTTTTAAACCTGCTGCCTATTAATTTCATTTGGTGACCCCTAGTTCTTGTGTTATGAGAAGTAGTAAACAACACTTCTGTATCTACTTTCTCTACATCAGTCATGATTTTATAGACCTCAATCATATCTCCCCTTAGCCGTCTCTTTTCCAAGCTGAAAAGTCCCAGTCTTATTAATCTCTCCTCATATGGAAGCCGTTCCATACCCCTAATATTTTTTGTTGCCCTTTTCTGAACCTTTTCCAATTCCAATATATCTTCTTTGAGATGGGGCGACCACATCTGCACATAGTATTTAAGATGTGGGCATACCATGGATTTATATAGAGGCAACATGATATTTTCTGTCCTATTTTCTATCCCCTTCTTAATTATTCCCAGCATTCTGTTCGCTTTTTTGACTGCTACTGCACATTGAGTGGCTGTTTTCAGAGAACTATCCACAATGACTCCAAGATCTCTTTCTTGAGTGGTAACAGCTAATTTAGACCCCATCATTTTATATGTATAGTTGGAATTATGCTTTCCAATGTGCATTACTTTGCATTTATCAACATTAAATTTCATCTGCCATTTTGCTGCACAGTCACCCAGTTTTAAGAGATCCTTTTGTAGCTCTTCGCTGTCTGCCTGGGTCTTAACTATCTTTAGTAATTTTATATCATTTGCAAATTTTGCCACCTCACTGTTTACCCCTTTTTCCAGATCATTGATGAATATGTTAAATAGGACTGGTCCCAGAACACACCCCTGGGGGACACCACTATTTACCTCTCTCCATTCTGAAAACTGACCATTTATACCTATCCTTTGTTTCCTATCTTTTAACCAGTTACCAATCCATGAGAGCACCTTCCCTCTTATCCAGTGGCAGTTTACTTTGCATAAGAGCCTTTGGAGAGGGACCTTGTCAAAGGCTTTCTGAAAATTTAAGTACACTATATCCACTGGATCCCCTTGGTCCACATGTTTGTTGGCCCCCTCAAAGAATTCTAGTAGATTGGTGAGGCATGATTTCCCTTTACTAAAACCATGTTGACTCTTCCTCAACAAATTATGTTAATCTATGTCTGACAATATTGTTCTTTATTATAGTTTCAACCAGTTTGCCCGATACTGAAGTCAGGCTTACAGGCCTGTAATTGCTGGGATCACCTCTGGAGCCCTTTTTAAAAATTGGCATCACATTAGCTATCCTCCAGTCATCTGGTACAGAAGCTGATTTAAATGATAGGTTACAGACTACAGTTAATAGTTCTGCAATTTCACATTTGAGTTCTTTCAGAACTCTTGGGTGAATACCATCTGGTCCTGGTGACTTATTGCTGTTTAATTTATCAATTTTTTCCAAAACCTCCTCTAATGATACCTCAATTTGGGACAGTTCCTCAGATCTGTTTCAGAGTTCCTCAGATCTGTCACCTAAAAAGAATGGCTCAGGCCTGGGAATCTCCCTCACATCCTCAGCCATGAAGACTGATGCAAAGAATTAATTTAGTTTCTCCGCAATGGCCTTATTGTCCTTGAGTGCTCCTTTAGCGCCTTGATTGTCCAGTGGCCCCACTGGTTGTTTAGCAGGCTTCCTGCTTCTGATGTACTTAAAAATTTTTTTTGCTATTACTTTTTGAGTCTTTGGCTAACTGTTCCTCAAATTCTTTTTTGGCCTTCCTAATTGTATTTTTACATTTCATTTGCCAGTGTTTATGCGCCTTTCTATTTTCCTCACTAGGATTTAACTTCCACTTTTTACAGGATGCCTTTTTGCCTCTCACTGCTTCTTTTACTTTGTTGTTTAGCCACGGTGGCTCTTTTTTGGTTCTCTTACTATGTTTTTTAATTTGGGCTATACATTTAAGTTAAGCCTCTATTATGATGTCTTTAAAAAGTTCCCATGCAGCTTGCAGAGATTTCACATTTGGTGCTGTACCCTTTTATTTCTGTTTAACTAACCTCATTTTTGTGTAGTTCCCTTTTCTGAAATTAAATGCTACAGTGTTGGGCTGCTGTGGTGTTTTTCCTGCCACAGGGATATTAAATTTAATTATATTATGGTCACTATTACCAAGCGATCCAGCTATATTCATCTCTTGGATCAGATCCTGTGCTCCACTTAGGACTAAATCAAGAATTGCCTCTCCTCTGGTGGGTTCCAGGACCAGCTGCTCCAAGAAGCAGTCATTTAAGATGTCAAGAAACTTTATCTCTGCATCCCGCCCTGAGGTGACATGTACCCAGTCACTATGGGGATAATTGAAATCCCCCATTATTATTATTGAGTTTTTTATTTTAATAGCCTCTCTAATCTCCTTGAGTATTTCACAGTCACTATCACCATCCTGGTCAGGTGGTCAGTAATATATCCCTACCGCTATATTCTTATTATTAGAGCATGGAATTTCTATCCATAGAGATTCTATGATACAGTTTGATTGATTTACGATTTTTACTTCATTTGATTCTATGCTTTCTTTCACATATAATGCCACTTCCCCACCAGCACAACCTGTTCTGTCCTTCCAATATATTTTGTACCCTGGTATTACTGTATCCCATTAATTATCCTCATTCCACCAAGTTTCTGTGATGCCTGTTATATCAATATCCTCATTTAATACGAGGTTCACCCATTTTATTATTTAGTCTTCTAGCATTGGTATATAAGCACTTTAAAACTTGTCTCCTTTTAGCTGTCTGTCATTATACAATGTAATTGAATGGGACTCTTTTTTATTTGATTGTTTCTGATCAGACCCTGCCTGTATTTTATCATTTTCCATTCTCTTGTCCTCACTAGGACATAGAGATTCTCTATTAATAGATCCTCCCCTAAGAGATGTCTGAACCACGTGCTCCTTTGCACCTGTCGGCTTTCACCCAGCCCTTAGTTTAAAAACTGCTCTACAATCTTTTGAGTATTAAGTGCCAGCAATCTGGTTCCATTTTGGTTTAGGTGGAGCCCATCCTTCCTGTATAGGCTCCCCCTTTCCCAAAAGTTTTCCCAGTTCCTAATAAATCTAAACCCCTCCTCCCTACACCATCGTCTCATCCACGCATTGAGACCCTGCAGCTCTGCCTGTCTAACTGGCCTTGTCTAGCAGTCTATGGGGACTGATCTGTTTAGATTTGTTTTCTTTATTTATGTATAACTGTGAAGATAATGTATGTGGATTATAAAATAGCCATGTTGTGTTTTAAAATCAAAGTTATTAGTTATTATGTTTCTTTATAAGATTTTATAAAGTAGGCACTTAATTAAGTTAATTCCTTTTGTTCCTTTTGGGACTTGAATGTGGGGAGATTGACTCTGTGCAATCTCCTGGCTGAAAATCCTTAGAGGCTGAATTCTGGGTCTCCAGCTGCTTTTCTTTGTGAATTGGGGTTTTTTAGGCACTGGAGAAAGGCAATGAAGTGAACTCTAGCCCACCCAAAGGTTACACAAAAACCCACAAACTGGCAATTTTGATTCAGAAATTTGCAGTGCCTCATGGGAATTGTAGTTCAGGTACCTCATCCCCTTTCTCCTCCATGGGCTGTGCAACTCAGCCAGCCTACACCTCCATGGGACTCCCACGATGCACCAGCAAGATGGGGAGATGATGGGATGGGAAATGTTAGTTCAGACAGAGAACCCAGCCTCGACAGGAGAATGGGGCATGAGGCACCCGAACTATAATTTGCATGTCGCAGCAGCAGCTCCGGAGGATGTGGTTTAATGTTGGCCAAGCCAAATGAAATATTTTAATTTGCTTCCACAAACTGAAACAAGACCTGTCATTGAGATCAACAATTCTCAAAACAAACAAACAAACAAACAAACAAACAAACAAAAGCCTCAAAAAAACAAACAAGCTCTGGGAGTTTTTAATACACAGTTTTAAAATTTTCCCTGGAAAGCTCTTCTCCCTTCCATTTTCCTACCACTGCTAGTGAAGGGCCACCCTGGGCCAGGTCACCAGTCCATTCTGAAAAGCACTATGATTTCTGTTTTGCAATACATATTCCCTCTCTGTGCTGGCACATAGGAAGCTGCATTCCCTTTGCTCAGGGCAGCAGCCAGCCTGGGCTGGGCTGGTTTGGGTTTGCTGCATCTGAGTTTGGGGCTTCAGCTCAGTCCTGGGCAATTAGGGGCTGTGAGGGAGGCATGCTCAGCCTCTCTGAAGGGGCACAAAGGGGCACCCAAAGAGAACAAGGGTTTAGAGATTGTTCAGAAGAGGGGTCAGAGAGGATTTGCCTTACAAAGAATTCCCCGTTGACCGGGGGCTGGTAGATCCCATCGAATGTGCAGGGCTGACTCTGGCCGCATGCCGTGAAGTTGAAGATCTGTTTGATGGCCATACGGCACTCGGTGGCATTCCCTGTGCCCACCAGCGTGGCGTTCCAGGAGGCTTGGGACGGGGTCTGTGCATGAGAGGCAGTGCAGGGCATGCTGTGAATGGAAGCTGCTGTGGTAGTTTCCTGGTATCCTTCAGGGTAGCAGGGGTGGTTAACGGAGCCCTGGACCTTCATGTTCTGGGAACAGTGAAATCACATGGTCATTCATAGAGTGAAGACTCATTCCTATCCCCTGCCCTCATTAAACATGATGGGGCATCCCAGCCTGAGGGCAGGAATGTACTGGGAGTCAGACAGGACTGGCAGGCAGCTCAGTGAGAGGTTTTCCTTTTAAGGCCACTGGCCCAGCTGCTGGGGCTTCTTACTATGGAGTTGTATTATCATCAGATTGATTGTTGGCTTTGTCAGACCCAGACCTATCTGTGCATCTGCAGCCCCCTGCTCTCCCTCTCATGCGAGCCTCTTGCGGCTCTGGATGCATGCTGAGCTGCATGGGAGAAGAGTGCAGGGGCTCCTAGAGGCTACAGGTGTTGCCAAGCCTCGGAGACCCAGCAGCCTCCCCAACTCATCTGGCAAAGTGCAATTCAGATCCTTCGGCATTGCACACAAACCCTCATGGCCATGTGGCCTCTAAGGTGAGCGTGATGTGATCCCCACTGAATCTCTATAAAGCAGGAGGCTGAATGGTGGACAATGCTAGAATCTCTGAACCCTGGCAGTGTCTGCAGCCTTGACAAACCCCCCACCCTGGCCCTAGCTCAGGGTCCCCACAACACATAGGTACCTCTGTAGCCATGACTGGAGATGGCATCTCCTCCTCCTCCCTTGTACATCTCAGAAGGGCAGCATCAGTCAACCCCTCCTGTTCTCTCCACTGTTCCTGCCTTACAAGGCCTCCATCAGCCAAGCCCCTGCTTCTCTCCTCGCCTCCCAGGGATACCTTGAAAAATTTCCCAGCTTCAAGCCTCTGCTCCCCTCCTCTCCCCCATGCTCCTCCCAAGGCCTGCTTTATACCAGATGCTGCTCCTCATGACCCCCCCGGGCCCCGCGGAGCCTGCTGCAGGTGCTAAGCCCCCTCTGATGCTGCTCCCTGTGCTCCCATTTGCATTTAATAGAAACAAAATCCTATTGATAGAATGAGGATAGAGTCAAACCGCCACCAAACGTTCTCTCACTTCTGTTATTTTCAGGATCAGCTGTTTCAGCGCCTGATTCTGTCCATAGCAGAGATAGCTGTGTGTGTAGATAGTGTAGGTAAACCCATAGAGCCTGAACTTAGAGGCTTTTGTCTGGTCGGTAATTGGACCAATGGGGATAAAGCTGATTTGGGTTGATGCTCCTCCGAGGTCCAGTGCACCCAGGATCTTGGCTGACTGAGGATGGATCCAGTCACGTTGTTTGGGAGAGTACTGCCAAGACAAAACAGAGATCACATGGAGAGACAGTCCAGTCTTGAGTTATTCCTATGGGATGCGAGCTGTATAAGAACCGGTATAAAAACAAATGGAATTGAATCAAATAGAATAAAACAGAAGGGGTTAACTGCACTGCAAAAGTCACCTGCCTACAGAATCTGAAAATATAGCCTCTGAAAACTCTTGGAACTGAAATTTGATCTGGTTTCACCCAGGAGTGACCCTTGATTTCCTTTTAGTGTTTAACAGGGAAACTTATTTATAATTTTTCCTTCTCTTTCATCTGTAGGCTTACTAATGGCAGGTTTGTTTGTGTCTGTGTCATCTGATACTGTCTCTGGGATAACTGCGGTTCTGAGGTGTCAATAGCTTATTGGTCATGGGGTTTTTAAACTATAACATCATCTGAGAATGATATTGCATCATACTGGAATACTGGGAGCTGGCTGGCTTGGGGGTTGATACTCTAATAGGATAAGGAACCTTTCACCCAGGGCTGGCTCCAGGCACCAGCTTAACAAGCAGGTGCTTGGTGCGGCCAAGGGAGAGGGGCGGCATGTGCGGCAATTTGGGGGCGGCAGGTCCCTCACTCCCTCTAGGAGCGAAGGACCTGCCGCTGAACTGCTGCTGCCGATCGCGGCTTTTTTTTTTTCCCCCCAATTGCCGCTGCCGATCACGATTGCGATCGCGGCTTTTTTTTTTTTTTTTGCTTGGGGCGGCAGAAATGCAGGAGCCGGCCCTGCTTTCACCCCTATGTTACTAGCAGTAACCAGTCTGAAAGCTGTCACCATCTGACTGCTGCTTAGTGTGGTAGCCTCCATACAAAGTTAGATAGTTTCTATCCAGTCCTTCCTGGGCATTATCATTGTGGGCTGCTGTCAATCCAGTACCTTTCATCAGCCTGAATTAACTTACACATTTAAGAATCTAAAATAATAATAGCAGAGAGGGGTGTTTCCATCTCCCATTAGCCACACCTTGGTGAAGGAGTCCAGCAGATAGTTGATGGTGATCCAGCCATAGGCTCCTTCCTCTTCCCCTGTAATGATCCGAGCCCCGTGGAAATTCACAGGATACTGTTGTATGGTCTTAGCGACTTCATTCAGGACCTGGTCTGCAGCTGACTTGTTTTCCATGCTAAAGGGTGTGCAAAGGGAAAGAGTCACCAAAACAATGGAATCAACAGCACTGAGAAAATGCAAGGACATTCTATTTCATAGACTTTGGATTTTTGCAGCAAACATTCCACACTGCAGGAGATTAGTAGTTTTACACGTCTCTTTCTGCTAACTGAACCCAAACTGCATTTTTGTCTTGACTTGGAATCACGTAGATAAAAGCAAGGTAAAAATAACACTGCTCTCCTTCTTTCATGGAACATCACCCCAGGTTCTGTATATTTGTTTCATACCATCTGTCTTTATTTGCTTTAAGTATTTCATAGATTTGTAGATTTTAAGACCAGAAGGAATCATTATGCTCTAGTGTGACCTCCTGCATAGCACAGATCCTAGAATTCCTGCATCAAGCCCAGGAACTGCAGCTGAACTAGAGTGTCTCTTTTGGAAGACATGCGCCTTGGTTTGAAGACTCCAAGTGATGGGAAATTCATAGCTGCCAAGGCCAGAAGGGACCATTGTGCTCATCTAGTTGGACCTCCCGCACAGCACAGGCCACAGAACCTCACCCACCCACTCCTGTGATAGACCCCTAACCCCTGGCTGAGTTACGGACGTCCTCAAATCATGATTTAAAACTTCAACCTATAGTTATAGTCTAACCTGCTATAACACAGGACATAGATCTTTCCTGAAAAGCTTCCTAGGCCATATGAGACACATCCAGTCTTGATTTAAAAACGTGTAAGTTATCAGCTTTGCTGAATTGTCCACAAAGTGTCAGAGCTAAACCAAGGCGCCTCACAGCAGCAGACACTTGTTCCCCATTTTGAACCTAGATTTTGTGACAAAGTAATGGAGCAAAGAAAGTACCGTAGACAACAACAGGACTATTACTAGGGTGCTGTCCATCTGAGGGGGAACTCATTAAAGGCTGTAATTACACTGTCTAGTCCCAGACAAAATCTTTAAAGACAGCAAACTCATTGTAACTTTGTAGTTATAAAAGACTGTGGGAGAACGGATGTTCCCGTGGTTAGAGTGCTAGCCTTTGACTTAGGAGACCTCTGTTCATTTTCCTGCTCCACCACAGCAGCAATCCTGTGTTACTTTGGGCACGTCGCTTAGTTGCTCTGGGCTTACCCCCTCCATCTGTATAGTGGGGGTAATAGCATGGTCCTGCCTCGTGAGGACAAATACATTAAAGATTGTGCTGTGCTCACACAGTACAGTACTAGGGACCATGTATGTAATTCCAAATTAAGGATGATGCTTTGAAAGTAACAATTCAAAGTTTAGGTTCCACAAAATCCTCTATCCCGCCCTCACCCCCACCCCCACCTGCAGGGCCGGCTTCAGGCATCAGCGAAGGAAGCAGGTGTTTGGAGCGGCCAATGGAAAGGGGCAGCACGTCTGGGTCTTCAGCGGCGGGTCCCTCAGTCCCTCTCTTCCTCTTAGAGCTGCCACCGAAGAATGAAGCAGCACAATTGAGCTGCCGCCAAAGTGCCGCCGATCGGCTTTATCTTTTTTTTTTTTTTTTTCACTTTGCTGCTTGGGGCGGCAAAAAAGCTGGAGCCGGCCCTGACTACCTGGAGTCTGTTCAGCAAGAGAGACTCCATGTGGATGGGTGGTATCATTAACAGTGAACTTCTCCCTCCCACTGCCACATCCAGGGCCAGAGGCCCAAGGGCTCAGCATCCCCAGTCAGGGCCAAGTTTTCTGGAGAGCTCGGCACCCAGCATGCACCCAGTGTGCTGAGCTCTACTGAGGATCTGGTCTCTTTCTTAGGTGCTAGAATGGGAGCTAAGGGTGCCTGTGAGTGCTGAGCCAGCTGTAGCCATACTGGGCTGGGGGGTGTTGTGTCACCACAGACAGCCTTTTGTTTACCCCAGAGACCCTGTGTTATTACCTCAGCAGCCTCATGCCTGCTGTAGCTCCAAGGTATACTGGTACCTCCCTCTGTCTCTCATCAGGAATGACCTTCAGGGCATCCTCTAGACAGCTCCGGAGGGACACACCAGCTTTGGGAGGGTCATTGGCGTAGCTCGATATGCCAGGTCCTGGAACATAGTTATGTTGATAAGAGTGACTAGGGATGGGGCAGGGTGCAATGAGAGGACGTAAGGGGCTGAGGCCTGGTACCTCATGGGGGTGTGATGGGTAACCTGCTTGTGAATCCCTCAGTAACCACGTCACTCAACTCTCTGCTTCGCCTCCTGAAGCATGATCATTAGGTGGGAGGAGCCAGGTGGCATGCAGGCTGTGCTGTAGTGGGCAGTCTCTCACTCCAGGCCAGGAGACAGGGACCACCTTCATGTTGGCACTAGGCAGCACAGGCTGGGTTATTCTGAAAGCCAGGCATCCAGGCAGAATCACAGGGTCTGTTTGTGTCCAGAAGCCTCAATAATGAATCCTCTTTATTTCCATTACAGACTAGCCCTGGCTCCCCTCTACTGGGAGGTAAGATCACAGGAGGCCATATTGTGCCTTTATGGCACACTTCTGTGCTGCAGGGGCCACCTGTAACCTTTCAGTGCTTCTCACCATGCCAGCACAGTACCCAAACCTGTGGTCAAAACTCCTACATAGGAAGCTCACTGCAGAGATACAGGCCGCAGAGTCCCAGCTCAGCAGAGGCATCTGCGTTCATTGGCCCTCATTGCAGCCATTTGTTCGTGGAGACCGAAAGAGGAATCGGGCCCAGAAAAAAAAAGCAGAGATACTGGAGTGTTTCAACCTCCCCAAAATAATACAGGATAAGTTTAGCAACAGGTGAGCAAGCAAAGACTCCAGGGCCCAGCCCTGCCTGCTAACGGGAAGCCTGGGATTTCTGCTTGGCTCAGCCTACCTTTCCAGCACCACTCAAAAACTGACATCAGGGAGATCTCATTTAACCTGGGAAAATTATTGCACAGTGAGAGTCCCTCCTGCAGGGAAGTGGGAAAAGCCCTGCAGCAGCAGATGAGCTTTGCTCTACCGATTACATTCTGGCACAAGATCTCATGCCATGTTGCCCAGGGGACTGGTGGAGTGGTGCATTGAACGCTGTTTTGAAGTTGTAAGCGATCACTTTTAGTCCTCAGGGGTTTTCCTGGTCCTGCTTGCAGGTTAGGGGGCTCTGTAAGGAAGTGTGCAATCTGACTCTTCAGCAGTCTGTCTTCAAACACCCAGCCTACAGCGAGGTGGAGTGAGATGTGTTTGCCTTAGGGAACAGGCTGCTTTATTCGCTCTTGTTCTGGGGTTCTTGTGTGTTATTGTTCTGAATTCTAAGAAATAAAGTAGTGTTATATTTAGGGCTGTCAAGCAATTAAAAAAATTAATTGTGATTAATTGTGTGATTAATCGCACTGTTAATAATAGAATATCATTTATTTAAATATTTTTGGATGTTTTTTACATTTTCAAATATATTGATTTCAATTACAACACAGAATAAAAAGTGTACAGTGCTCACTTTATATTTATTTTTGATTACAAGTATTTGCACTGTAAAAAACCAAAAATAGTATTTTTCAATTCATCTAATACAAGTACTGTAGTGCAATCTCTTTATCATGAAAGTTGAACTTACAAATGTAGAATTATGTACAAAAAAACTGCATTCAAAAATAAAACAATGTAAAATTTTAGAGCCTGCAAGTCCACTCAGTCCTACTTTTTATTCACCCAATCGCTAAGACAAAGAGGTTTGTTTACATTTGCAGGAGAAAATGCTGCCTGCTTCTTGTTTACAATGTCAAGTGAAAGTGAGAACAGGTGTTCTCATGGCACTGTTGTAGCCGGTGTCGCAAGATATTTACGTGCTAGATGCGTGAAAGATTCATATGTCCCTTCATGCTTCAACCACCAATCCAGCGGACATATGTCCATGCTGATGACAGGTTCTGCTCAATAACAATCCAAAGCAGTGCAGACCAAAGCATGTTCATTTTCATCATATGAGTCAGATCCCACCAGCAGAAGGTTGATTTTTTCTTTTGGTAGTTTGGTTTCTGTATTTTCCGCATTGGAGCGTTGCTCTTTTAAGACTTCTGAAAGCATGCTCCACACCTCGTCCCTCTCAGATTTTGGAAGGCACTTCAGCTTCTTAAACCTTGGTTCGGTTAGAAATCTCACATTGGTACCTTCTTTGTGTTTTGTGAAATCTACAGTGGAAATGTTCTTAAAATGAGCATGTGCTGGGTCATCATCCAAGACCGCTATAACATGAAATATATGGCAGAATGTGGGTAAAACAGAGCAGGGGACATACAATTCTCTTCCAAGGAGTTCAGTCACAAATTTAATTAACACATTATTTTTTTAACGAGTATCATCATCATGGAAGCATGTCCTCTGGAATGGTTGCCGAAGCATGAAGGGCCATACGATTGTTTAACATATCTGTCACGTAAATACCTTGCAATGTCAGCTACAAAAGTCCCATGCAAATGCCTGTTCTCACTTTCTAGTGACATTGTAAATAAGAAGCGGGCAACATTATCCCCTGTAAATGTAAACAAACTTATTTGTCTTAGCGACTGGCTGAACAAGAAGTAGGACTGAGTGGACTTGTAGGCTCTGAAGTTTTAGATTGTTTTGTTTTTGAGTGCAGTTATGTAACAAAAAAAAATCTACATTTATAAGTTGCACTTTCACGACAAAGAGGTTGCACTATAGTACTTGTATGAGGTGAATTGAAAAATACTGTTTCTTTTGTTTATCTTTTTACAGTGCAAATATTTGTAATAAAAAATAATATACACTTTGATTTCAATTACAACACAGAATACAATGTATATGAAAATGTAGAAAAACATCCAAAATATTTAATAAATTTCAATTGGGATTCTATTGTTTAACAATGCAATTAAAATAGATTAATTGCGATTAATTTTTTTAATCATGATTAATTTTTTTGAGTTAATCTCGTGAGTTACCTGTGACTAATCGACAGCTCTAGTTACATTGTAACCTTCCAGCAAGAGCATTTTAACTGCTCTGTGTGTGTGTGTGCCATGAACATAAAAGCAGGCAGGGTTCCTTCACCACATTTGTTGCAGTGAGCGCTGGCAGGTTCGGGGGAGACTCTGGAAAGCCATATCTTCATTCCCAGTGAGGAGCAAGACTGGAAGCCAGGGATTCCTCCCTATCTTTTCCCTCAAGGGTAGTGGCAGTGTTCCTATCTCCTGCTCAGCCAGAGCAGAGGAGGAAAGGGAGATGATTACCCTCTTGGAATGCAGAACTCAGTGATAATTCCTGCATTCCAAGGGGGTTGTCACAGTGTACCTTGCCTCTGGTGGTACACTATAGTGCACTCTATCACTATAAGAGGAGTGAAAACCTATGCAGATGCCATGAAGCCACCCTGAGCTTCCACTCACAATAGATGGAGGGTCACTAGAGGTGGGTTCTGTTGTCCCTCGCAATATAAGTGAATCCAGACAAGGGGTGAGGGATAAGTGCTGTGGACTCATCTCTCCATGCAGTGTCACTTCTATGACTGAGTTGCCTGTGTCTATAGACAACTGTGGCTAGCTGTGATGCACCCCAAAGTGCTGAGATTTTGGAGGCTGCCCTGAAAAGTTCCCCCCAAAGCCCAAGGTCAGGTTGATTTGCTGTGGCCAGAGGCTGTGCATGGTGCCAGGGAGCAACTGGAAACAGGAATCCCTTGACTTCAGGCAACCTAGATGCAGCAACTCTTGCTATAACCACTGTGCTTCCCCAGTGTCAGTAGCGCACAATCGTCTTCTGTAGAAGAGACTTGACCACCAGACTCTTACACTTCATCCAACATTTCCACCACCTAGGTGCCCTGCTGCATAAGAAATCTCAGAGGAGCTCTGAACCCATGGTGTTTCCCTCACAGCGGGGCAGGAATACTGACCTTGGACATTACAGGATAACGTCTGGCTGACCACTCCGGTGTCATTCGTTTTGTCAGATGTCCACTGGTAGACGAACAGAGAGGTGTGGGATGAGCCTGCATCAAACACCATCCCGTACTGGAAGGCATAACCAAAACATGATGGGTCTGGTAAGCCAGAGCAGAAACTGGGGCCTTCCATCTCCCTGCACTAAGGTTTGCTCAGGGGCTGAATAGGTCAGTGAGAGTTAGAGACATGTGCTTCTGCTCCTTAGCCGAATGGGCCTTCTGATGTCATAGAATCATAGAATCATAGAATATCAGGGTTGGAAGGGACCTCAGGAGGTCATCTAGTCCAACCCGCTGCTCAAAGCAGGACCAACCCCAACTAAATCATCCCAGCCAGGGCTTTGTCAAGCTGGGCCTTAAAAACCTTAAAACCTGTGCCTCAGTTGAAGGTAAAGTAGAAACAGGCTGGTCCCTTGAGCATGTTGCCTCAGCTAATGTACACTGGCTAACTCCACTGAAGTCAATCGGTTTCCAGCCCTGCCCCTGCAGTCCACAGACTGATGATAATTTACACCATCAGCGCAACTGCATTTTCTTTGTTGCAGTTTTACTGATCTTTTATTTTCTTTGTTGGTTTAATGTTCATCAGTGTGGTTCAAAGATGCCATATTGACAGCCTGAAGAGCTCACCCCCAGAATACAGGCTACGATGATGTAAGCTTCCTCCCTTCCATGTGCCGCAGTCCTGTACATGTCTGGGGGTTGAGGGAAGGTCAGTCACTGCACTGCTCATTGGGAACATGCATATGTGCACTGAGACCAGAATCCAGAATTTCTTCTCAGCAATCCATCTTTCCCTCAGTGACTGCACCAACAATTCCATCATGCAGCATTTTCAACATCACAAACTCAGATCTGTGCAATCTTATGTCTGTGGCATCTACAGAGGCTCTGATGTGTTACAGGACTTTGCTGTAGGGCAGAGGTTTCTCAGAACTTTTCAAAGCATGGGTCACAACTTACTAGAGATTCCCAGACAAACACTATGCTAACACAGAGTTAAGGTTGAGAGTTCATATGAGTAATTTAGGGTAAAATACATCACAAGGATTGTGTAAGTATTCCCAAATCCAAGCATTATAAACCTGGGAAGTTCAGAGTTAAAGTTACACTTAAAAGAAATCTAAATATGTTAAGCTATGAAACTGCACAATTAGGGTACCCACACAACCTTAACTCTGCCTTTATGTGACACCATGCCAGATCCATAGGAGTATGATGCAGGCATTTTAGTATATGTTGTACCACAAGATATTAACTGATTTGGAATTATGGATTTTCTTTTTCTTTCCCCCCATCCTTGTGGTGAGCCACAACTGGCCCCTCTGGACTCCTATCTCTGGGACACCTCCTCTGATTCACAATCACCCGGGCCACCTGATCTCCCATTTGCTATCTCAGGGACCACTTCCCCTCCCATTCATGGTTATATAACATCTCTATGGCAACTATGACAATTGTTTACATGAGCAAGTAACATTTGGAAAGTCTTTAGGCTGGGATTTCCAAAGAGACGTAAGGGACTTAGGTGGCCAAATCTTGAAAGTCAACAGGGGCTGGGCACCTGAGCTCTCAGAAAGTCCCAGTTTAGATGTACATTAAGCTGTATGTTTATGGGATGTAGCAGCCGGAAACAAGGAGACTTAGGCTGTGTCTACACGGCCACTTTCGGCGCTAAAACTTTAGTCATTTAGCAGTGTGAATAAACACTCCCCGGAGCGACAAAAGTTTTAGCGCTAAAAAGCGCCAGTCTAGACAGCGCTTTATCGCCAGGAGCCACGCTTCTGTTGATAAAGCTACCACCCCTCATTCGGGGTGGTTATTTTTTATCGCCGAGAGAGCTCTCCCCCAGCGATAAAGCGTGACTATATTGCCCATGTCACTGCGCTGCCACGGCCATGCTGTAATGTGGGCAGTGTAGTCGTACCCTTAGAACCACGTGAGCAGCCACCTGTCTCCGCGCCACCAGCAAGTCTCTGCAGACCACTGTTGGAGCACTGCTGTTGTAGGATAAAGTGGAAGGAGGGAGAAACTTTGGAGTGAATGAAAATGATCTCTCACAGAATGTCTACTTCTGACATTCCCCCAAAGCGGTAGCAGAGTAGATATGACCACTCTAGCTTTCCTATCCAGGCAGTCCCACTGGGCTTAGGGTGAACAGCCATCCTGATATTATTGGGACCATCCTGATATATTGGGGCTTTGTCTTATATATGCAACTATACTCCATAGGCGCCAACTTTTGCCCCACCCCCAGCCCCACCCCAGCTCCGCCCCTCCCTGCCCCTATTGGATCGCTCCTCAAATCCCCACCCCGGCCCCGCCTCCTCCCCCAAGCGCGCCAGGTTCCCCCTTCCTCCCAGGCTTGCCGCGCAAAACAGCTGTTTCGCGGTGCAAGCGCTGGGAGGGAGGGGGGAGAAGCAGGACCCAGCGGCATGCTCAGGGAAGGAGGCAGAGCGGAGGTTAGCTGGGGTGAGGGGCAGGGTGGGGTTTTTCCCCGTGGGTGCTCCAGCCCCGGAGCACCCACAGAGTCGGCGCCTATGCTATACCCCTCTATCCCTCCAATTTTTCACACTTGCTATCTGATAACCCTAGCTGGGCTTGCATGGATTTAAACAGAGGGCTGAGCACATAATGTTCCAGCTCCATGTTAATTTCTGCACCTCCACCAAGTCTGTCACAGTGTAAGAGTCCTTTTGAAAATATGCTGGGATTCAGCATTGGGGATGGCATTGGGATGGGTTCTTAATTTGTAAAGGCACAAAATTATGTTCTCTTCTTCCAAGCTGGCCCAGACAGAGGTCTTTGATTAGAAGTTTGCAGAGTGCCTAGCACAATGAAGCCCTGATGCTGACTGGGGCCTTTCGTTCCAACAGCAATAACAATAACCCTGCAATTTCTTGTGTGATCTGTTGTATTTTTCAAACACATGTGGGGTTCTGCCTGTATTTCACTTTTTCTTCAGTATGCAGGGAGGTTGGGAAGTCTATACCTGCAAAGCTATGGCAATGCACTTTTGCTTGTTGCTAAAAATATTGACTTATAAAATTTTTGGTAAACTCTGAAATTTCCAAGCACCCATACAATGCTACTGGCCTCTGTATTCTGTAGCTCAGGGACTCACCTTGTTGTTAGGTGCAAAGGAAACATTTTGGATCCTCACCAGGCTGAGAATGAGGACGATGGATGAAGACACAGCCAGCGCTACCAGAATGGCAGGGATGTAGCGTCTCAAATCGATGCTCATTTTAAAAGTCACCTGCAAACACACACACACATGCAGAAAAGTAGAAGGGCAGTTCAAAGGGTTGGTTCGATGTGGCCACTGGGGATCATCGCTGTTTAGCAGACAGCAAGGGTTTCCTATCTGCAAAATGGGGATCATGATTCTGACCTGCTTTGTAAAGAGCTTTGAGATCAATTGATGCTGTAGAACAGCTAGGGATTATCAGTATCCCTCAAAGGCAATGTTCCCCTCTGGCCATTCATGGGTCAGCCTCTGTCTTTACATTTGAGGCTTATTTTTTCAACTGGACATTTTGGAGACATACAGCTGAGAAGTCCATTCTGATCCCTGGCCCTGAGCCCTGTGCTCTGCCCTACAATTGCTAAGTTGGACTTTATCCTCAAATCAATGAAAATGCAATGCAAAAACTACCACTGTAACTGGCACTAGCTGGCTGCTTCAGCAGAGGCTGAACTTCCCCTTCCACTGTGACCGTGATTTATACCTGCCTCTGGAAATTTCCATTACTTGCGTCTGATGAAGTGGGCATTCACCCACGAAAGCTTATGCTCCAATAGTCTTAAAGGTGCCACAGGACCCTCTGTTAATAATAAGACAGTGGTGGTAATGCAGCACATTGCAGGCAGCACGTAGCTCTGCACAAGATGGTTTGTCCAGGGGAAGGGTGTGTCCGACTGGACGTTTGCCTCCGGTCATGTTCAGCATGGACTTGGCCAATTTAGAAAGAACTGCCAAACATCTGTGTATCCAGGTCTCATGCTGAGTGTGAGACATGGAATCCTGGTGGCTCTGCCAGGTGGCCAAGTCCCTCCCCATCCTCTGTCTGTGAGTCTCTAGAGGAGCGAAGTCTGATTCTCCGCCTGCCTGAAATGATGTACTGCACGCCATGGAAAGCAGCCCTCGCTACCATGGTGACAGATGCCTACCGACTGGGGTAATACATAACTAAATGAAATATCTGCCGTCACGAAGCCTCCCATAACAGTTCCCACTGGGGTCACCACCTTGTTCCCATAGATCCTCCATGGGTGACTATTAGCAAAATTTCAATATATTTCCATACCATTTTCCCTTGTCCCGATGGCCTCCCCTGTGGCTGATGGTTCAGAGGACAGTAAAGAGTCCTCACAATGTACCAGCCAGTTGTGCAGGGGGGATGAATTCCTTCCAGACACCTGCTGGTGACTGGTTCGCTTCCTGGTGAAATGCATCACATTCTGCATCTCTACAGTACAGCCAGTGCTGGCCCGTTCCCTTTTAACATCCTGTTAGATAACCTGACACTGTGCCCATGTGGCAGGGTGTTTCCTTGGCTGACCTCATCATGCACATTGAAGGGCAGTATACTCAATAGCCTCATACAGTGACCCTCCTTCCCTACTATTCCAACTCTGAACCCTGCAGTGCATTTCAAGGTGCACTGGGGTGTCTGATATACTAGATATATACTTTAATCTATCTATCTATCTATCTATCTATCTATCTATCTATCTATCTAGTACATACATGCACAATACAAACTGGATACCTGAATGCAATGGGGAACATTTAATACATAGTACTGTTGCGTAAATGAGTTTCTGGAGATGCAGCTTACATTAGTTCCCCAAACTAAATGAGACCAACAAAAGGATTTTTTGCTGGTATAACTGCATCTGCACAAGGGTTTTTGATGGCACAGCTATTTCAGATGGGGTGTGTGTGATATTTTTATACTTCTTGCTGACATAGCTATGCCAGTACAATTTCTAAGTATAGAGCAGCCTCAAGTAAATTTCTTGATAATTTTGCTAAGAAGATAATTTCCCCAGGCAAAAACTTTGTTACTAAGTTTTAGGGTTGTAAATATATATTGAGAAAATGATCTTATGAGGAAGTTGTAGATATAAGAAAAACAAGTGGTTTGAAAGCCAGGAAATTTTACGTGAAAATGAAAATAAATGTGAAATATGCAGTATTGGTGTAGCCATGGGCCCAGGATATTAGAGAAACAAGGTGAGCGAGGAAAAGATCAACCTCCCTGGGCAATTTATTCCAGTGCTTAACCACCCTGACAGTTAGGAAGTTTTTCCTAATGTCCAATCTAAACCTCCCTTGCTGCAGTTTAAGCCCATTGCTTCTTGTCCTATCCTCAGAGCTTAACGAGAACAATTTTTCTCCCTCCTCCTTGTGACAACCTTTTATGTACTTGAAAACTATTATGTCCCCTCTCAGTCTTTTCTTCTCCAGACTAAACAAACCCAATTTTTTCAATCTTCCCTCATAGGTCATGTTTTCTAGACCTTTAATAATTTTTGTTGCTCTTCTCTGGACTTTATCCAATTTGTCCTCATCTTTACTGAAATGTGGCACCCAGAACTGGACACAACACTCCAGTTGAGGCCTAATCAGTGCAGAGTAGAGTGGAAGAATTACTTCTTGTGTCTTGCTTACAATACTCCTGCTAATACATCCCAGAATATTTGCTTTTTTTGCAACAGTGTCACACTGTTGACTCATATTTAGCTTGTGATCCACTATGACCCCCAGATTCCTAGTCAACATACAGTTCCCTACATCACCTAACACCCAGTTATAAACTTGTAGTGACATTCTTCCACTGGCCTTCTCTGGCGATGAAAGAATATCACTGTCTCAAAAGGTGGGCTTAGTCACGGCGCTGACTTTCTCTGCACTGACATCAATGAGGGGAATGCTCCAGTAATTATTTTACCCAAGTGTGCCACAGGGATTAGCATTACCATGCTTGCAAACAGTGCCACAGGATGTCTAAAAGACCATCTAATGCTCCACAGTGAAGACTATGGTCAACAGCTCTGTTCCTCTGACACAAGGGAACTCTCTACAATAAGGGTAAACCTTGTTCATGTGGAAGACAGACCTTTCTTGGGAGCCAGTCTGGGACTGGAACTAAGGACCAGGACTGGAACTAAGAATTAAGTTTAGGCTTGAAATTAGAGGAGTTAAATTCTGGAACAGCCTTCCAAGGGGAGCAGTGGGGGCAAAAACCTAACTTGTCTCAAGACTGAGCTTGATAAGTTTATGGAGGGGATGGTATGATGAAGTTGCTTACAACGGCATATGGTCCATCAGTGACTGCTATTATGAAATATGTCCAATGACCAGTGATAGGACACTAGATGGGGAGGGGTCTGAATTGCTACAGAGAATTCTTGCCCAGGTATCTGGCTGATGGGTCTCACTCACATACGGTTTAACTGATATCCATATTTGGGGTTGGGAAGGAATTTCCCCCAGGTCATATTGGCAGAGACCCTGTTTTTTTTTGTTTTGTTTTGTTTTTTGTGCCTTCCTCTGCAGCATGGGGCCTGGACACTTGCTGATTTGTACTAGAATAAATGGTGGATTCTCTGTAACTTGAAGTCTTTACATCAAGCTTTAAGGATTTCAGTAACTCAGCCAGAGGTTATGGGTCTGTTACAGGAGTGGGTGGGTGAGGTTCTGTGGCCTGCAATGTGCAGGAGGTCAGACTAGATGATCATGATGGTCCCTTATGGCCTTGGAGTTTATGAGTCTTTGAGACCACCCCAAACCTCCCCTCCTTCTACTCCAAGTGCAATACACATTTCTTTTACCTGCCTTCTCTAACAAACACAGAGCAATTTGTATATTAAAAAAACAAACCAAAAAACCCCAGCCCAACCCTACCAAAACAAGACACTCCACTGAATACACTTCTCCTTCTTTGGGGAGTATGAGGAGAAGAGAAGGAACTCATGACAGATGTTAGGTTGCTTAACGTACTGCAGGGGAGCACTCAGATGCTATGCTGCTGAGTGGTATAAGAGCCTATGTAGCATAGAATAGAATCTTTAGCACCAGCATATGATTTAGGATCAGGCCATATGTCTCAGCTGCAAGTCAGCATCTGCAGCACACTGCACCCCTAATGGTTTAGTGCACTGGCTCAGCCCTGACTTATAGGTAAGAGTGCCACCTACTGTGTCGCCCATCCTCCATCACACAGCTCCCTTCTGGTTTTCCTTGAGGGGAAATTAATAAGACTGGGACTTTTCAGCTTGGAAAAGAGACGACTAAGGGGGAATATGATAGAGGTCTATAAAATCATGACTGGTGTGGAGTAAGTAAATAAGGAAGTGTTATTTACTCCTTCTCATAAGACAAGAACTAGGGGTCACGAAATTAAAATAATAGGCAGCAGGTTTAAAACAAACAAAAGGAAGTAGTTCTTCACACAACACACAGTCAACCTGTGGAACTCTTTGCCAGAGGATGTTGTGAAGGCCAAGACTATAACAGGGTTCAAAAAAAGAAATAAATTAATGGAGGATACGTCCATCAATGGCTAGTAGCCAGGATGTGCAGGGATGGTGTCCCTAGTCTCTGTTTGCCAGAAGCTGGCAAAGGGGATGGATCACTTGACGATTACCTGTTCTGTTCATTCCCTCTGGGGCACCTGGCATTGGCCACTGTCAGAAGACTGGGTACTGGGCTAGATGGACCTTTGGTCTGACCCAGTCTGGCCGTTCTTATGTTCTCTCCTATCCAAGGACTGACAAGACCCTGCCTGGTTTGGCTTAAGAGATTGGATCAAATCATAGCCTGTGGCAGCATCTGCTCATCAATGAGACAGAGGGAAAGAAACACTGAAGGGGCCTGCTCTCCTGTTTCTGCTATTACTAACATTACAAATGAAAAACAATGCACATGCACCCACGCGCATGCGCACACACACATCTACGATGGGGCGCTGGTAGGTACTCCTATACTTTGGTTGCCTAACACTTTCCATTAGAAAGGATACTTGCAGCCTTTTCTTTGAGAAGCTTTCACACCTCCATTGTTAAGAGGAAAACTCCCTGGGTTAGAGAAGTGCCTTATTCTTTGGCCCATGAGATTCTGTTCTGCTTTTGCTGAGCTATAATCTGTTAAAAACCATCATTTCCCTTCTCTCACTTTTGATGCTCAGCAAAATGTTGGAGGGCTGCCAGCAGATAACAAAGCACAGGAGCATTCGA